GAGAGAGAGAGAGAGAGAGAGAGATTACAAAAAAATTTTTATTTTCATTCGTCTCCAAACGAAGCCAAAGAATATCGTCGTATTTTCGCGAAAGGGACGAAAGTGATCTATCGATTTTCCATCGACAGTCAAATATATATGTGTACACGAATGATCTATGATTTTAATTGCTGCCGATAGGAGAGGCAATTACTCGAATAAATTGCAACAATTGGCAAACAGGTGCGACTTCCGCGGTCCGATCAACCGTGACGCGGAACGGTGCACGGTCTCAATACGTCAATTTGCACCAACGGTGCAATCTTTTTGCGCTCTGTTTATCGGCCTACTCGCGCGATACAACTATGCCGCCAATACCATTTCCCTTTTCACTGTGCACGCGCCGCGACTGCATCATCGTTCTTAATCCGATGCCAGTGATATTCGACCTGGTCACTTGTCGCAATGTGATTCGCGCAATGAAATTTACGAAATCTCGCAAATGAAAGAGAGAGGAACACGACACACGTACCTGTCTACGTTCTCCAGAAGCATATCGTCCCCCAGATTCTCCTCGGCGGTGCCGTGATGAAAGTACTTGCCAGAAAACCCCAGGTTGAACTTAAACCCCGGGACCAGGGCTTGGATTCTCTGTTGAGTGGCCAGCAACGCCATCACGTCGTCCTTTCTCAATCTGGTGCCCTTCTCGCCGACGAATATGTCGTCGACGTCAACCAGAATCATCCGATTCAGGCTGAGGCTCAACTGTCCATGCGACAGATAGGATAGAGAGTCGAGCAGCAGCAAATTGTGCAGCCAGAATCGCAATCCACCGCCGAAAAAGACCCTCTGAATCCCGTCGTATCTGCCGTGATCCTGTATAATGAAAATCCAATATGGACCCGTTAAGGGTTTATCGCGTTCCCGGACCGCGTTACTATGACTCTGATCTCTGTCGTTTAGCAGACTTTGGCTAGATTCTTTTTTTTTTTTTTTTTTTTTTCTATTTATCGCAGAGTGGATGCGGGCAGGAGGGGAGGCTGAGGAATTAAACGAGCCAGCGCAAAATAGTTCGTTTACCGAGGGCAAGCTGATAACGCGCAGCCCGGTATTTAATATCGATCAAATTCCCTGCATAATCCTAGGCGCGTAAAAGGGACACGACAAATGGTGGGGTTTAAAAAAAAAAAAAAAAAAAAAGAAAAAAAACATGTGAGAAGAGGGAAGAAGGATTTCCGTGGAAATTAAGATTCGATTTTTAAGCGGATTTTTCGATCGTTCTGGGTTATGAGAGGCCGACGTTAATCTCCTTTTAACCGCTTTCACGAGCGATATATTCGATTCGAATGGAGATTATATCGTCCCTGCGATCGCTAGTCTCAATGAGACTTTATATTTTATGGGCTAAAATAAATCTACTTTTTCTTTCTTTTAAATAGAAATTTCGTGTTGCCTGGATGATCGTCTCAATCGTTCTCTGTATTTTTCTATCGTTAGAATCATTTCATTACGAGGCAGTGTGTTGTTGCAACTTTTAGGGGAAATTGCAATTAATCTGACGGAGAAGGAGAAGAAAATTTCCAATCATTAAAATATTAAAACTAATTAAGGCAGCTTCTTAATCTACAATTTCCTTAGCCTTAGCTTTTGCATGTTTCTAAAAATTTTCAGGGAAGCGAATGAAGAAATCGATTTTTTCGAACACCTACGTTAGAATAGTCTGTTGGTACTCGTTAACAGATAATCCTCTGATCGATAACAAAATGACTGATTTACTTGTTAGAGATACTCAAAGAGCAAACACTTTAAAGCTTTAAAGGCGAGTGCATTTTTAATCGCTCGCTGTCAAAGCTTCCAGACTCGACGGTCGAATGGTTAAATTGACAATTGAAATTACAGAAACAGCGTCGTTGAATTCGTGAAAGTTGTGCAAGAACCTTTATCTCATCGATCAAACGATATTATTAAATTAAATTCTCGCGCAAAGAGACGAGTTACTTCAAGTGGCTCTTCTCCTTTTTTTTCTTCCCCCCCCTCTCTCTCTCCTTTCTTTCACGGGAGTTCATC